TGGAGATTGCTCTCCTTAAAAGACACGTGTACCTCTGGGAACTTCAGGTCCCTTTTTATCCCCCTCTCAGATACATATGCATACAGTTTCACAATAGATTCATACATATTCATTTTTATGAATTTTGCTTGATATTTGCCACTAGTTGTTCTTTATCAGAAAGAATTCCTAGGTCAGGTTGAGCTGCTCTCACAGCAGTCTCTGTCTCTCTGTCTTCCCCCACCGTATCTCTGTCTTTCACTGAAGCACTTTCTCTCAGCCTAGGCTTTTTGCAGCTAGACTATACAGCAAGCCACATACTTAAAGATGTACATTGTACCTAAATCCAAATGGATTTCTACCTTGGAAAATTTCTACTCTGCCTCAAGAGTGTCTGCTGTCCTTTCCATGAGGATAACAAGGTGGCTCCCTCACCCTGAGGAGGTTGCTTTGGGCATTGCCCCTGGTGTTTCATGTACATCCAATATCTGAAGAGTGTTTTGCAGAGATAAACAAAACTCTACAACTTTTGTGAAAGTTGTAAAGCTGGTATGTTTATTACATCACTGGACACATGTGGAGATTGCTCTCCTTAAAAGACATGTGCACCTCTGGGAACTTCAGGTCCCTTTTTATCCCCCTCTCAGATACATATGCATACAGTTTCACAATAGGTTCATAAATATTCATTTTTATGAATTTTGCTTGATATTTGCCACTAGTTCTTCTTTATCAGAAAGAATTCCTAGGTCAGGTTGAGCTGCTCTCACAGCAGTCACTGTCTCTCTCTATCACCCTCTGTTTCCCCTCCTTATCTCTGTCTTTCACTGAAGCAGTTTCTCTCAGCCTAGGCTTTTTGCAGCTAGACTATACTGCAAGCTACATACTTAAAAATGTACATTCTACCTAAATCCAAATGGATTTCTACCTTGGAAAATTTCTACTCTGCCTCAAGAGTGCCTGCTGTCCTTTCCATGAGGATGACAAGGTGGCTCCCTCACTCTGAGGAGGCTGCTTTGGGCATTGCCCCTGGTGTTTCATGTACATCAAATATCTGAAAAGTGTCTGCTGTCCTTTCCATGAGGATAACAGGGTGGCTCCCTCACTCTGAGGAGGCTGCTTTGGGCATTGCCCCTTGTGTTTCACCTACATCAAATATCTGAAGAGTGTCTGCTGTCCTTTCCATGGGGATAAGCGTTGCTCCCTCACTCTGAGGAGGCTGCTTTGGGCATTGCCCCAGGTGCCTGACGTGCCCTGCTGTGTGTGTGTGTGCAGGGAGGCTCACAGCCAGATCGAGAAGCGGCGCAGGGATAAGATGAACAGCTTCATCGACGAGCTGGCCTCGCTGGTGCCNCAAAAGGAGTACCCCCAGATGGTGGTGGTCTGGTTTCCAAAAGAAGAAACACGAATCCCATCTGGTGAGGTCCAGCTCCCCAGATGTGGGTCAAACCCTTGAATTGCAAGGACTATAAATCTCATAACAGTGATGTCCAGCTTCCCTTTGGTCAAAACTATTAATCCTTGAGTTGATGTTCATCTTCTTTTCTCAAGCTGCTTTTCTCTGTTTTGTTAAGGCCTGAGATAAGCATATTTCGTTTATATATATTCCTAAGCTATAGTTTCAAGGATACAAGCAATATTCTAAAATTGTACTTCAAAAGGTTATTATTGCAGAACTCTTTAAGGATTAGCTACAAGCAAAGAGCAACATCCTTAACACTTTAATTCAAATGCTCCTAAATCAACCAAGGTTAATTGTGAACAAAAGATAGGTTCAAAGCTTCTTCCATGCTTTACTTTCCTCAGTTATTATTAGAATTTGTCTTTATAACTGTCCCATGGTTGGTTTCCACACATATCACAATCACAAATACACACATTGCCTGTATGTAGCTGACACGAAATACAGCTTTGTATTTCACATGAATACCATTGGGAAAAGGAATTGCTGCCCTTTTGAGCTTTTTTACTGGGTTGGCTTTTGAGGTGGAGCTCAGAGCTGTTACTATGCATTAATTCAGCGTGGCTGATGAAATTTTTTTTTAAATCCCCCAAACTTCCAAAAATGTGGCAGAATAACGCTAGGATCTTTCCTGCCAATTCATTAGGGGAGTGTGTATTATGTGTGTGTGTAATTTTCAGAAAAAAATGTTTTGAAACTGGACTCTAATTGCTCCCTCTGTTACATGAAACCTCTTGCAAACAGCAGGCAGCTGAGAGGCTGCAGAGCTGGGTTAGGCTTTGCTAGCCTGTACACTTACATAACTGTTTACTAGGACACATTCTGCTGGATTAATGCTTCTCTGGGACCTTTTGTGTTTGTGCGAAGGAAAGATTTCATAAGGGTTATCTCCTGGAAATGATTGTGCCCGTGTGGTATCTGCTTTCAAACATCAGTTTATTATCTAAAAGGGTAATTCTTTGCTTTTCCAAAAGAAAGGGATTGAATTTTCTTCAGTAGCAGGTACATATGACCTGAATCTTCCTTGAAAATCACTGGATTGTGGAGGGAAAAGTAGGAGGTTGAAGGATGTTGATGGAGAGGTTGTGCTGGGCTGGTTGGAGAGGCCTTGCTTGGTTCCCTGCCTGGTCAGGAGGGATTGAGGCTGCTCCAGCTTCCCTGGGGCTTTGGCTCAGCTGCCAGAGACACAGAAAAGCCCAAACTCCAAACTCTGACAGGATCTGCCTGCTGGAACTGGGTTCAGGCAGACCCAGCTGATCTTTGGTGCCCTTGGAGAGGAAGCAGGGGATAGTCATGGGAAGGATTCAAGTGCAGAGAATATATATATATATATAAGTAGTATATATATTCAAGTGCAGAGAATATATATATATATATAAGTAATATATATATATATTACTTATCTGTTTTTTAGTGGTTGGGTTTGTGGGTTTTGGTTAGGTTGGGTGGTTTGTTTTTTGGTTTTTTTTTTTTTTTTTTGATAGAAGGCTTATGAAAATACCAATTCCTGAATGCTCAGAGCTGGTGCTCACTCTGGGACCTGTGGGAGCATTCAGAGCTTTCTCTTGCTCAGAAAATGCCATTCTGTCTTGTTTATAGACCAGTTTTATTTTCAAAAGATCAGGCTTATTCCCCTGATGTGTAGTTTGAAGGCATTTTTAAAATAATGAGACTCAGAAAATATTGACCCATTGGATTTAAGCACATATGCTTTTATTGAATTGCTTTCCAGCTGTTGTTTACAGTCCTTGGGATGTCTGTGCTACTTCAAAGAACTCTTTGAAAGGGAATTTATGTAGAAGAAAGCCTCAAGTGTAGGCCTGAAGCTGACATCCAATGATCCTTGCTTTTCCTGGAGAATATTTAGGCACCTGTAAATGTTGAAAACAATTCCTTTCCAAGTCAGGTTGTTTTGTTCATATAGACTTACACTGTTCGTTTATTATCTGCCCAAGGAAATCAGGAAAGAAACACTTCCTGAACTGCCTGTGACCTTTTCTGTCTTCATGGATTTCATGGTCCCTGGGGAAGCACAGCGATGGATTGGGTTCCAATGAGCTGGGCTGCCTCAGCTGCTTCACAATTCTCTGTTCCATGGCAGCTACACTGAGCAGAGTTTCTTATTCAGGACTTCTGATTGGTCTGCAAGCTGCATTTGAGAGTAAAATTAAGTTTATTACCTATGCAGATGTCATCAGGTACAGCTTCAGGATTCAGAGCTGCCTTGTTAAGTGGGAGAAGAGAGCTGAGGAGAAAAGTGAATACAGGCTGGAATTCCAGAAGGACACAAACGATTTCCTTCCTTGCATAGCAGAGCATGGTCAGATATTGAATGCACCCAGTCTGTTGGTGGCTGGAATTTGGTGCAGATTCTCCTTTCCACAGCCCCTGGTGTGAAAGGAAAAGGCTTGGCAGATTCCCCCTCTGTGTGCAGTGCTGTGAAAGCCTTGGTTACTAAAGTTTTTAGAAATATACTGGATTGAGCTTGACTGGGTTCCCAGCTCTTCCATGGCTTGGTTTTGCTGCTTTGTGGTTCTCTTGGAGATTGCTTTGATGGGTTTTCCTTGGAGTTCCAAGTGGCCTGGCACAAGGCTCACCCTGCAGAATCACCTGGAATTCTTGTTTCCTTCTCCAAGGCTGAGGGCATTGATCTCCCTGTCAAGGAGGGCTTGAGGTGTCCTCAACCTGTGCTGAAAAATCTCTTTTGTCTGGGAATGTACAAAAATGCCCCACATTGAAATATATGGATTTGGTGCTTCAGCTTCTTTCCCCCTCTGTTCTTATTCATAATTGTTAATATGTACTAATTTCTGCATTTTATCTTGCTTAATTTGGGCTTTTTTGAGATTGCAGACAAGATGTTAATCTAACTGGGTTTGTTCCTTTTTGCCCTTCATGTTTAATTTGAATTGGAATGGTTTGGAATTGTGGCACTTATTTCAGCTTCTGCAAGGAACCTTCACTTCTCCCTCAGCAATTTTCTTCGAAGAAACAAAGATTTATTTTTTTTTTCCTAAGAAAATTCTTCTAGAGAATTCTTCTAAGAATTTTCCTCTAAGAAATGTACAAAATGCAAGTCACGTTTGGTGTGGTGTTGTTCTGGGCCACCCTTGAGTTCTCCACACCTCTTTGTGCACAAAGCTTTGTGTTATCTCGTGGCTGCTGCAAGGCAGCTTTTTTCAGGCTTAAATGCCCAAAATTACAGCAAATCTTCAAAGCTATTTAGAAAGCCTTACATCCCCTCTGGTGATGGTAAGTCAAATGTAATACCTCAGGGCTCTGGGTGTTAGGTACTTTTTTAATTACCTGAGAATTAAAAATAGTGTTCTTAAGGAATTTCTTTTACCTTCTAAGCCAAAAATTCCTTTCCACATTACTTGAGCCTTTCCCAGCCTCGGTGTGAGCTTTAGGAATTTCTGACTAATGCTTCAAATTGAAAAGATTTTTAATTTATTTTATTTTCTTCCTCTCCCTCCCTTCCCCAGGGCAACAGCCATCCTGGCATACCTACCCCAGGAGCTTCTAGGTACTTCGTGTTATGAATATTTCCATCAAGATGATATAGCACATCTTGCAGAATGTCACAGACAAGGTATGGCTCTTAATAATTCAGGAAAGATGTTTTCTTCAAAACATTGGCACCAGTTGTTGTGTGTTAAGGAAACCAAACACTTGAGAAGATTTGGGTATTGCTGTTTGCAAGTGCTTTAGTGAGAAGCATTGTGCTGTGTGTGCCAAACACTGTGATTGCCTCAGACTGCCATGGATTTGTTGGGAATATTTGAGGTTCAGGATGGGTGAGGGGGGTGAGGCAGGAATAGCATTTTTCCTGAGGGATGTGGGGAGGAATTAACTGGGCTTTCCCTGAGAAGGGCTCTGTTTATGTTGTGGTGCCTGCTTGACACTAATGACTTGCTTTCTGCCTGTCTTCAGTTTTGCAGACAAGAGAAAAAATCACAACTAACTGCTACAAGTTTAAAATAAAAGATGGCTCTTTTATTACGTTGCGGAGTCGCTGGTTCAGTTTCATGAACCCTTGGACCAAAGAAGTAGAATACATTGTCTCCACAAACACAGTGGTTTCGTAAGTGCTTTTCCCCAGCAGGTGCCTGGGAGTGCCCATTGCTTTGCCCTTTTCTCATGGTAGATTTGACCTAAATCTGTGCACACCTTCTGTGTGGCAACAGCTGTCTTCTCCAGACAACACCCCAGGGAGTTAAAACAACCCCAGGTTTAGTTTAAAAATTGCAGTAATTTAATTTCTGGTCATTAAAGCTGCAGAAAATAGAAATATGTTCTTTCTTTGGGAAAAGCTGGGGTTTGGTCTTTGTAGGAACTTAAGGGCGTGCGTTTCTTTGCTTTGGCAGGTATTTCCCCCCCTTTTCCTTTCTCTTGGGGTGACTTTTCAGCAGAATAATTCCTGCAGAGGAGCTGTGTGGAGAGTTTGGTTTAAGCATAGTTTAAAGAAAGAGGCTATGAAAGTATTTAGCTGAGAAAAATATAGAAGCTTGCTGTGAAGCAGCTTTTTTAAAGTTTGATTTTGTAAATAATTAAGTTTTCAGCTACTTTTTATATAAACAACAAAATTTTCAGACTGTTTTGTCTTTAACTACTACTAAGAACAAACGGCTAGTCTGAGAATAGATATGAAGGTTTTGAGAACTTTCTATATCATAGTCAGAACACTAATCTTAGTTTCAGTAAACTAACTTCAAGTATTGTAAACAAAAAAAAGAGCTGAAGTTTTCTCTACAGCCTGTCAAGAGCTCAAATTTTGCAATATGCATGAACTTAATTAACACAGTTCTAAAAAGTGCCTGATTAATGAATAAAGTAGAATCAAATGCTAAAAACAACAAAAGTAGTCGCTCCCTCACTTCGACAGAGCTGTGTGCAGAGAGAGGCTGTTGGGGTCCGGCCCTGCACACGTGGAGGTGGAGCAGGGAGGGTTTACCTGCTGTGTATCCATCCCTGGTGTCAGCCCCAGGGCTGGCACTGCTGCAACCCTGCAGCATTCCCTGCTGGAGCCCTGAGCTGCGATCCTGGGAGGGTTTTGTGCCTCTGCAGGGTTTCCTGTGCCTGACTTTGTCCCGCTTGCCCTCCGCAGCACGGCGGGCCTGGAGAGCGGGGACGCGGCGTTCCCGCAGCTGGCGGCGTCCCCGCACAGCATGGACAGCGTGCTCCAGCCTGGGGAAGGTAACTCAGCCCCAGCCCTGCCTCTCCTGCCTGGGCAGCAGCCCAGCCTCCTGCACTCGGCTGCTGCCCTTCTGCTCTGAGATGGTTCATGTCCTGGGGAAATGGGGTTAGCTTTGGGTCTGAGCCGCGCCTGCTGAGGGTGCCTCTTGGTAAATGTGCATTATCCATTCTGAGGCCTTTCCTGCCCTCTGATACTCTGCTTGCAGTATATCAGGCTCTTTGCAGGTGGAGGTGTTCTTTCCAGCCTCCTCCCAAGTGCTGTGCAAGTGTGAAATCACATTACAGAACAGCTCCTGACTGCTCACACCTCCCTTTTCCCTTCACTTTGACATTCCTGCAGTTACCTGCAGTCATCAGCTCCCTTGGGTTTATCTCCTGCTGAGTGCAGTATGCCCTGGCAAGTTCTTCACAGAAAGCAGAGAACAAACATGTTTGAAGCAGGGCCTGTTTGGGCACAGGGTCTGACAAGGCCGTGCTGTACCAGCTCTGGGTGAGAGGTAGCACCAGATGCTCAATTCTGGAAGGGAACAGCCAAATTCCGAAAGAGTTGAGGTCTGTCCTGTCCCTGCTGGCACAGAGGGACACCTGAGACCCAGCACAGCTCAGTGCAAGCCAGAGCTTGTCATCCATTTGGATGCAGTTGGTGGAACTGTCGATAAATCCTGTTCAGAAGATCCTGCAGCCACTCAAAGCCTAAGCACAGCTGCCCTGTGGAGAAAGTCTGCAAGCTTTTCTCTGACCTTAACATTTCTGCTCATTTCAGGTGGCCCCAAAAGGACCCATCCCACTGTGCCTGGAATTCCAGGTGGAACAAGAGCTGGGGCAGGTAAAATAGGGAGGATGATTGCTGAAGAAATCATGGAGATTCACAGGTGAGTGAAAATGGTGTGGGGTTGAATTGTTTTATTCCTGTTCTTTAGGAGGAGTTAGACTTCCCTAATTTCCTCTGAAAGAACAATTGATTCAGGGTGAATAAGGAATGATCCAACCTTACTGAGACACTGCAGATTCCTGTTCAGCCTCCCTGAGGCAGTCAGCCCACAGGGAAACCACAAAGTTACAGCCTCTAGCTCCCTGCTGCAAGAGACTGATTTCTGATTGCACTACTGGCATTTCTTTGCAGTGGTGGTGAGGATGTCCTGTTCACCAGAAACAGGAGATAAAAAGAGCAGCTACCTAGAAACAACTCCATTCCAGACTGCTCTTCCCCAGTGACTTGGGGCTGGGAGTGGCACAACCTCCAAATGCCAAAGCTGTTGACTGTGTGCCAGAGCAGCAGTGTTTGTTTTGTGCAGTCCATTTGCTCAGAGGCTTTTGGGGCTGTCAGATGTGCACAATGAGCTTTGCAGTTCCCCTGCAGCCCTTGGGGCAAGGACACAGTGCTGGGGCCCTCCCAGGGTCTCTGAGGGGCTGTGGGGATCCACAGCTGCTTCTGGTGTTCTCAGCTCTGTGAGCAGCTGCTTTCAGGGGGTACCACTGCATTTCTGTTGGCTAAAATTCCCTGTTCCTCACTGATTTCCTCTTGGGAGCTGTTTCCTTTCCTATGAAAGGGTCTCCCCCAGCAGGTGTTCAGTGGTAGCAGTGTAAGCAGGCTGAGCTGCAGTCCAGGCACACATTCAGTCTGTTTCCCATGGTTTTGTTCCTGCTGCAGGCAGAACTCCCTCTGTGCTCACCTCAGGCAGCTGCAGACCTCTCCCTAAGGCTGCATTCCTCTCTGTAGGAACAGGAAAAGGAAAAGAAGGAAAACATGGCTGAATCATTACTTTGAAGCTTTAAAACCATCCCTTTTAGTAGCTGTAAAACATTTAATTAGCCCAAGTGAGTGTAGTAGTGCAGTTACCACCCATGTTTGCATTTCAGCTCGGACCCTGGGTTAGTTCCAGTCCTTTTTCAGCAGCTGTTACTATTTTCCAAAGCTGCCTTCTGTTCAGCTTTCCCAGGGGAACTCTGCCAAGGAGAAGAATCCCATTTCCATTGCTTTGCTCTGTAACCACCCCTCCTCCCTTTAGTCTGGAGATTTGTTGGTGCTGCAGTCAATACATTATTCATTATTAATGATGTTTGGTCAGGCTATGGAAAATGGGAGTGAACAATGTGGCTTTGAGCAGTTACAAACAATCCTGTGTCCAATGGACTTCTGGAGCAGGAGCTCACTGGAGGAGTCTGGGTTACTGTGACTGAGGCAGCTGGAACTCTCAGCTGCTGGAAACTGAAGTAAAATACTCAAAAGATGAGGCTTTCCTTAGCAGCCAGGACCTTTTCCTTCTGACTTTGTTAAAAAAACAGGCAGGAGGTAAAGCTTGCAGATCAGGCAGGCTGCATTTACACAGGACTGTTGGTCTGGCTGCAAATAACAGCATTGCTGCTCCTGCTGGCGTGAGGAACACAAAAAAGGGAGATGACAAAAATGAAGCTCATGCTTTTAGCACCTTATAGCACCTGATACTGAAGTCAGTATTTAAAACTCCCAAGTCTCTGAGTAGCTTGTAAGTGCATGCCCTGTTTTATGGATGTTTTAGGATAAGAGGATCATCCCCTTCCAGCTGTGGCTCAAGTCCCCTGAACATCACCAGCACGCCCCCGCCCGACACGTCCTCGCCAGGAGGGAAGAAGGTAAGAGTGAGGAGGGAAGGAGGAAAGAGTGAGGAGGGCAGGAGGAAAGGGTGAGGAGGGAAGGAGGAAAGAGTGAGGAGGGCAGGAGGAGATCCTTATGCACCACTTCAGACTTAACCTTTTTTTCTCAGAAATGATGACTTGCTTGTAAGAATTGCTTGTGCTGGAACAGACAGTAAATATTTCTGTCTATTCCCAGCTCTCTTTGTTCTTGAAATAAAGCTCCAGGTTGGAACAGAGTTACAATTCTGGTAATAGTTATTCTTCTTGTGCCCTACAGTATTCAGCATGCCCACAGAACAGGGGCTGCTGGCATGGCATAAAGGAAAATGCAGGTGGAGGGTTGGGCGTTTTCAGCACCCCCTTGATATTTCTCCTTGTTTAGAAGATTGTTTGTTTTAAACCACAGGGTTATTTTGGGAAGTCCATCTACCCTATATTAAAAATTCCAGTATAGGACAACTTGATTTGGTTAGCTACGTATACTTGTAATACTTGTATATTTTGGATTCTGTTGTTTGAATTTTTTTTTAAATCACTTTAAATCACTGTTTAAGACTTAAAGCTCCATTTCATGCTGCTTTAGAGCTTGTGTTTTGTCTTTCAAGATCTTGAATGGTGGCACTCCAGACATTTCTTCAGCTGGGCTGCTGTCTGGGCAAATCCAGGATAATTCTGGGTACCCATATTCCGACAACTCCTCTATCCTGGGTAAGTGGAGTCACACATGAGCACCCCCAGTGCCAGCTGAACACACTTGCACACTGGTTGCCTTTAGCAGTAACTTGCTTTTACCAGCTGAGGCACAAAGCCCACAGCCGAGCACTCTGTGCCCCAGGAGGCTCCTGGCAGCCTGTTCTGTAAAGTTCCTTCATGGAATGTCCTTGGGCAGCGCTGGGAAGCCTCTTTCCCTGAGTCAGTGGGAAGTATTTCACATGCTGCTGCAGTGCTGTGGGTGCCCTCTGGCACTCAGGCTGTCCCTGAGCTGTGGTGGCCCTGGCTGGGGAGTGACCCAGCTACCAGGGGTGTCCCCAGGGCCCTGGCTGTGCCCCAGAGCAGCAGA